TACCTAATGCAAGGTCTGTTCATATCTGTGAAAGATGATGACTCGAATGTTAGCAAATCGGGGACTCACTGTACTGGAAATTGAACTCGGAGCCTTCACTCTCCCTATCCCTTTAAAAAAAAAATTTTATTTTTGAGACAAGATCACACTAAGTCAGTAGGTTGTCCAGGCTGGACTACAACTTGGGATCCTCCTGCCTCAGCTTCCCAGAGTGCTTTTACAGGCTTTTTCCCCAGCTTGATGATGGTAGAGAGCAGCTACCTAAGACCCAGACAGAAGCTCTACATCCAAGGCTATTCCTGGATTGTTAACAGTCTCTCCTTGTTTAAGTCATCCTGTTCATGTGTCTCTTTAATATTAGCCGCTAATCTTCATAATAATTAATATACTACTTTCTCTTTGATTGTTTCAGGCAGAATATTCACAATATGCTTCCATATTAAAAACTGTCTAGAGTTCTATTTTCTTCTTTCCCTTGTGTTTGTGGAGTTATTTGTGTCTCGGATCGTGGCTGGTAGCACATTGGTAATGGCTGCATCTTACAGTGACATGATGTTCTGGCAGGGGTCCTGCACCAAGTGTTCAGGATGAATGCTTGGTGGGTTAGCTGTTCCCTGGAGCTCACCGTTGCCACTGCTCTATTGCACACTGTTACGGTTTACATCTTGATGCCCCCACAAGAGTAGCACGCCATCATGGCTGGGACCTTTGTGAGGTGACTGGACTATGAGGATGAATAGTTGGCTTGATATTAGGAAGTGGGCTCTGGTTGGAAGAGGTGGGTCATGGGCCAAAGGCTAGATGGGTTTCTCTCTCTTTATTGGCTCCTCCCTTAATGCTGCTTCCTGTCTCCCCTGTCTTGGCCAGGCCCCTGTGCCATGCTGCTCTTGGAGCCAGGCAACTATGGACTGAAATCTCTACAGACTGTGAGCCAATAAACCTCTCCTCCTTTAACTTGTGGGTTTTGGGTGTTGTGTCTCAGTGACAAGAAAAGTGACTAACACTTTAAGTGACATACACCTATACATAATATTACCTTGAAGTGAGCACTAGAAAAAGGTTACAGGAGTGGCTGGTCTGTACCTAAGAGCTGGATGGTGGCAAAGGTCCATAGTCTTTAAGGAGGCAGTCACAATTTAAATGTACGTCAGGAGATTACTGGGCGTCATTCTCTGAATACCTTGGCTTTTCCATTTCAACACTGAAAACATATTGTTCCTGTTTCACACTCATTAATCTTTAACTGAAAAGTAGAAAGGAACTAGAGGGAATTAAATTTTATAGAATACCTAACATTTATTGCAAGGCTGTGCAAAAACAGTGATTAAAAACAAGAGCTTTGGGTCAGATACACTGGGATTTGAATTCCAGCTCCACGGCTTCCTAGTTGCTGGCTTTGGTAAGTAATTTAACCTCATGTATGAAAATCAGGATGATAATGGCAACTTCAGAGCTTTCTGGACATGAAATAAAACAAGATGTCTGAATGACTGGAAGAGGCTAAAAAGGAAGTTGGCACAAGTTAGCTAATGTTATCTATTGTGTACTCATTTCCTGGTGCCAACTGTATTACATACTTATTACATCAACCCAATAAGGTGGGCATAATTATCCCTATTTGTATAACAGAAGAAACTGAAGGTAAAGAATTTGTGAGGTGCAGATGTATTAGCTATTCCATGGATGAAGAAGTGGAAGCATGTAGTGCTTAACTCTCCAGTGTCTCAAAGTGATGCAATTATACACCCGATTCAAAACATGTCTGTTTGATATGGAATTTTAAAAATCCTTGATATTTGACAATTCTCGATTTGTTGTCCATCTTAACAGGTTGTAAATGGTTGTGGTGTTGTCTGCACTTGCACTAACTTTTAAGAACCAACTTTTGGGGCTGGAGTATATTTCACTGGTTGAGTGTGTGCTTAATATGTGCAAGGCCCAGGGTTCAATTCACAGCACCAAAAAAGAAAATCATTTTTGGCACTGTTATGGCTTGTACTGTATCTTGACGTTCACCCAAAGGCCTCATGTGCTCAAAGGAGCTGGTTGAATCTAGGGCATATGATACTGGGATTAAAGGAGTGTGGTACTAAATTAGTCCATTGATTGTTTTAACATAATTCTCAGTGTGGATAGTGGAAGCCCCACCCTGGGTGTGGTTGGAACCAATCAACAGGCCCATATATTGGATGGACTGTAAGGGGAGAGAGAGCAGGCAGGGTTGCTGCTGATGCTGGCTGCTTTCTGTCTGCCTTGCTGTGGACTGTTTCTCCTTGGCCATGCCTCTCTGCTATGCCACCCTGCCTTGGAGCCAGCCAACTATGGACTGAAACCTCTACAAATGGTGAGTCAAATAAACATTTCCTCCTTTAATTTTGGGTGTTGGGCATTTTGTTCCAGCAACAAGAAAAGTAACTAAGACAATCACAGACCTGGGATAGCGACATGACTGTTCCAAATAAGGATAAAAGTCACAAATATTAGGATAATGTCTCTATGTTGTATTTTTCCATCAGGCTCTAGGTAGTCATTGCTATTTTTTTTCCTTGTATAACCCAAGCAATTTATGATAATTGTTCTGTAATTGTCCTAATCAATTACAAGTATTATCTGAGGTTTTTTTTATTTTTTGTGTTGCTGAAGATTGAATCCAGAGCCTCTAAACTGAGCTACATTCCCAGTCTTTTGTATTTTTTATTTTTAGACAGGTTCTCACTGAGTCACCCAGGTGGGACTTGAACTTGTGATCCTCTGTCCTCAGCCTTCCTCAGTGCTTGGATTACTATGTGCCACCATGCCCAGCATAGTGCTATTTTATTTTAAATAGCTATGTCAAGTGCTCTCTATAACTCCTTTTTAAAGCTCACAATCCATTGCTAAGCCAATATGATAGTGATCAAAATATTGATTAAATGTGATATGATATGAAGTGGACAGTGCTGTAATGAAACAGCTACAACAACTGTAATGGTTGAGCTGTAAATAAAATTTTGAATCTCCACTGGATTTGACAATGCATGCCTATAATTCCAGGTACTTGGGAGACTGAGGCAAGAGAATTGGAGTTGGGAACCAGCATGGGCAATGTAGTAAGACCCTGTCTTTTCATTTTTTAGTGTCCTGGTATAGCAAATTCTTATGATTTTATGTAGCCTTGGCATCCATTCGGAATATGTTCAACTCATCTCTCGTAGACCAGAAGTAGGATTCAGTCACTCTCGGCACAATTCCTAGTTCTCTACCTCATCCCATTGCTTCATGTGGTGGATCTGGATATCTGTCTTTGTCTTAGTTACTTTCTCATTTCTGGGACAAAATATCTGACATTGGAGGAGAAAAGGTTTATTTTAGCTCACAGTTTATAGAGATTTTGGTCCATAGTCGGCTAGCTCCAAGATAGGGCAGCATGGGAGAATGGCATGAGAGGAGAAACAGTCAATGGCAGGGCAGCCAAAGCAGTGAACCTTTCTTTCCCTTTATCTCATTCAGGCTACAAGCCTATTGGTTGGTGCCACCCACACCTAGGGTGGGCCTTCCCATTATTCACAACCAGAACTAAGCTAAACCAATCAGTGGACTAATTTAGTACTACATACTCTTAATCTATATTCACACACCCTAGATTCAGCCACCTCTGAAAAGCCCCACCTATGAGCGCATGAGGCTTTGATGGGACAACTAGATAGAAGCCAGAGCAGTCTTACACAACGCCTTCTGGTGACAGCTAGATAGATCTACTGGGTTCTTTCCACAGACCCCACACAATATGCCACAATGACCACTAGTCATGGGGTTTTTCCATGAAACTGTTTCTAATTAGTGTTTGGACATCCAATTAGAACTCCCCATGGGAAACTTCCTGGGTAATGTTCTGAATCCCACTAAAGGCTTTAGCCCCACCAGTCCCCCGCGCCCCTTCTCTTTCTCTCCCTCCTCTGCTGGTTGGCTTCCCAGTCACCTCCAGACTTCCTCTCTACCTCAAGGGAGGGACCTCAAAGCCAAGTTTGAAAGAAACCCTAACAGTAAAAGTCTTACCACCTAGCAGTCGCAGTGAACATCAGAAAAGAGGAAAAACAGCAAAGAATTTTTCCTTGTCCTATCAAGAATTTCTCACTTGGGCCGGGGATTTAGCTTAGTGGTTCCACCGCCTGCCCTGCAGGCGCAAGGACCCCAGTTCAATCCCCAGTGTCAAAAAAATAAACAAAAAACAACAACAAAAAAGAATTTCTCACGTGGTATTTGATAAAAGATACAATAAAAGGTGCCCTCAACCTCATTCCTACAGCAGAGGCAGTAGAGAATTCACTTGGTTCTCACATCCTTCTTTGGCTAAAAGCCGAGCAGGGATAACATTTAGGATGCGCAGGGACCATGCAACAACAGCAGAATATGTGTGGCAACAGGAATATGTGCTCAGCAGCACATTTTTCCCAGTGTGCCTTCCTGGTGGAGATCTGAGAACTGACAGGTAGTGGGAATTTTCTAAACTGGTGTTCAGAGTTTGGACACCCCCTTGTTGAGAGGCTAACCCTGCTCAGGACTGTTGCCTCCAGGAAGGGCCACTTGCAGGCTTCAGGCCCTCTGTTCTCCTTTGCTATCCTCTACCCCGCTGCTGAGCACCAGGTAGGACGCGTAGCTGAGGTCTACCAGGCAGGTTTAAGGGACCTGGGACTCAGGATCAAGCGGTGTCCCACACTAGGCTGCCACACTCGGGAGCTGAACCTAAGCAAAACACGTTAGGTCATTTTTGCCGCTTGCTTACCAAAATGACCCTAAGGCTTAGCCCAAAGAGTGCAGTCTGGTGATTGTGGGTCTTTCAGAATACGTTGTGTTCCACTACAGCACAGTCGGGAAACCACCGTTTAGCGCTGACAACCCTCAGGCCATGCTCGAGACGCAGCCAGGGTAGGGCGGGGCGGCGGGGCCCGGGCCAGGAGGGCGTGTCGGACGCCAGGCGGGGCGCGTGCGCGCTGGGGCGGCCGGGGGCGGAGCAGCAGCCGGGCCCACGCCGTAAACAGACAACATGGCGGCGGCGGCGGCCCCGGGGGCTCTGGGCGCTGTGCAGGCGGGCCGCGCTCGCTGGGTGGCGGCTGGCTGCATGTGGCTCGGCCCCGGCTTGAGGCTGTCCGGCTCGTGGGCCGGCTGGCGGGTGTGCCCAGCAGTGTGGGCCCAGGCCTGGGCTCCCACGGCCTGGGGTCCCGCCCCGCGGAGGGGCTACAGCTCGGAGGTGAAGAGCGAGGACGAACTGCGGGTGCGGCACCTGGAGGAGGAGAACCGGGGTGAGCGGCGGGCGGCGCGTGGCGGGCGGCTTGGGGCTCCATCCCGGTGGGCGGCGCTCACCTGCCAGGAGTCGAGTGGCAAGGTCGCATAGGGGCGGTGCGGTCGGCGTCCGTCCGCGCTGGCATCGGCGGTGAGGCTGCAGATGCTGCAGGAAGGATGTCCTTTTGCTCTGCAGAACCTGGACTCCAGCAGTTTTTCCTGGTGCCCATTTTATCTTAAAATTTAGTTTTGTTTCCCTTCAGTTAAATGATGTTGAGCACTTTTTGTCTTGCTGAGCTCTAGGGGCAGGTAATGTGGATGAGACTGGTTTTGCCCTTGAGCTGCTTGTGTTGGGAGGAGGAGATGCCATGGGAGTACGTTGCGGAGGGCGGGAGGCTGTGAACTAGGGTGAGCAGCAGCGGATATACTGACGATGAAGCTTGGTTCCTTCCGGTTACAGTGCTGGGAAGAGCTCAAGGGGTAGCGAAGGTTGGAACAGCATATTGATCAGGTTAAGCTAGAGGACCAGGCACTTAATTTTGGCATGCATTTATTGCACACCTATAGTCCGTTAAGGAAAAGTGAAAAAGGAGTAAGTCATGCTTTTTAAGAAGCACTTGGAAAAATAGTGAAGAAGACCTGGTGGTGCTAAGTTTAAAGGCCTGGTGAGAGCAGAGAGCTTCAGTACTTGGAGAGTTTGGCCAGGTGACAGGGGTTCCAAAGCAGTGTTTAATAAGCAGTGGATAGCGACGGTTCCTGGGCAAACTAGGCAAATTTCTCTGTGCTTCAGCGATCTCCCTTGCAAAATAGGAAGACTAATACCAGCTTTATAAGGTTGTGGGAATATTTGATGAGGTTGTTAATATACTGTGCCCGCTAAGCATGTAGCTCAGCATTATTAAGTTATTTTATTTCTTGTTTATTAATCCAGTCAGAGACAAAGGAATGGTCAAAGTCATGGAAATATGAGCGTGTGTGTTTGGGAAATATTATAAGGCAGGTGTGGCTGTGATGTGGCTTGAGAACCAGAATAGTAACAAATTCAGCTGAAAGATTGGACAGGGTCCTGGAGCCACAGTCTTGGGTAAGCTTAGCCATGCTGGATTTCAGTCACATTAGCTATACCAACCATATGTTAGATGCAAAGGGATTGCAAGGACAACTAGTAATATGTACCATATTCTGTACGTTTGAATGAATGCAAAAATAAAATTTGCACAAAATGTCTGGAAAAGTTAGGATTTGAATGGATCAAAAGAGAAAATAACAGAATATAAAAGATAATTTCAGATGTTTTCAGTTTGAAACGTCAGTATCAGCTATTAGGACATCATGGTTTCTTTTTTTT